CTGGGCTCAAGCAATCCTCTGCCTCAGCCTCCCGAGTAGCTGGGACTACAGGCATGCGCCACCATGCCCGGCTAATTTTTTCTATATACGTTTTTAGTTGTCCAATTAATTTCTTTCTATTTTTAGTAGAAACGGGGTCTCGCTGTTGCTCAGGCTGGTCTTGAACTCCTGAACTCAAACAATCTACCCGCCTCGGCCTCCCAGAGTTATGGTTTGAATTTGTTACTAGATACATTAATGTTTAGGATTGTTATGTCTTCCTGATGAATTCACCCTTTTACTATTACCAGATTTTCTTCATCTTGATGGAATATTCTTTTGTAATATTTGTCAGAGTTTCACTTGTTTTTGTGGCTATTTGGTTATCACTCTTCCTCAGTAACTATAAGGTCAAGTGATATATTTTATCTTTTGTGTTTATCAGAATGCCTGGAAGAAACATAGTAAATGCCTATTAAATATTTGTTGAATTAATGAATGAAGGTACAGGTGACATGGGTGAAGAATGAATGGGCAGAGAATTAGTATAACTGGTTGAATAAACTGAGCTAAAATCTAGAGATAAATGGATTAATGCAGACTTGGAGGGAGCTTGCTTGACATACCATATCCTTGACTTTAACCTTGTCTGGTTTCATATTTTTATGAATATCTTGTTGAAAATATAGAAACTACACTTACCAAACTTAAAAATTACTGGGTGGCTCATTAGAGAAACATTTGTTAATAGTAATGTAAGGGTAATATAGTCATTAAGAATATACATTTGAAGTTAAAATCCTTGAGTTTGAATCCTGGTTCAGCCACTTAACATCTCCGAGACTTTCACCAAGTTACTTCACTTACATACCTCATTTTCCCTTCTGCAAAATGGGGATAATAATGGTACCTATTTCCAAGTGTTGTTTTGAAGACTGAATGAGTGGATGGATGTTAGTACTAAGAAGAGTACCTGGTTTGTTGTAGCACTCATCATTATCATCATCATCATCATCACTATCTTTAGTGTCATCCTCATCATAGAAAATGTATAAAATCTATAAAAGTCTAAAGAAAGTAATCATCTGTGGTCCTACCATCCAGAGATACTTACTCAAATTTTTGTTGTATTTCCTTCTCATATGTATATACATTCATAAACATATGCCATGTGTTTTATGTTCTACATGTTCCCTTTCACTGAAAGGGTCATTTTTTCTTTCAGTACATAGTGTCATCTTTTTAAAGTTTTTTATAAATGAAAAATTTCAAATATACAGAGGAGTAGAAAGAATAGTGTGATGAATACCAACATATCCTAGATTAAAACACTGTAATGTTTTTTCATATCTACTTGGTGTAGACTTTGCTGAACCATTTTTAAGTAAATTATAGGCGTTATAATATTTTACTCCTAAATTCTTCAGTATTTACCTCAACAAATAAGGCTACTTACAATATCATATCACACCTAACAGAAATCAATGATTTCCTAATACCATCTATTATCTGGTCAATATTATTAATAATATTTCCCTAATTGTTCTCAAACTGTCATTTATAGCTGGCGTTTTTCCACATCAGGACTCACTCAAGAATCATACATTGCATTTAGTTGTTATGTCACTTAAGTCACTTTTAATCTAAAATACCTCCTTTCACTTTAGTTTTTTCTTTTCAATGACTTTGACATGTGGAAGTGGCTGGGCCAGTGAGCCCATGTTCTGTATTTGTTTGATAGTTTCCTTTCAGTGTTGCTTACTTGTGCCTCTATCCACTGAATTTTCTTTAAATCAGAAGTTAAGTCTAAAGTCTTCATTGAATTCAGGTTAAACATTTTTGGCAAGAATGCTTCATAAGTGTTGCACTCTATCAAGGAGGCGTTTAATGCTGGATTTTCTTATTCTTATTAGTGATACGAAGTGACAATGTCCCGAACTTGCTGTGTTGTAAAGTTATGTTTTTTCCATTGCAGCTATCTGTAAAATGTGGAGTGATTTTACCAGATGAATATCCAGGTCCCTACCAACATTTCATTTCATGAACGATGCTTGTCTGAAGCAATTATATTATTGAGGGTTGTAATAGAATTTTCTTTGATTAATACAACAAGCATCTCTTCTTAGCTTTGTTGGCTGTTTGCATTTCTTATTTTTTGAATGGCCTGTTTGCATCTTTGCTAATTTTTCTGTTGAAGTGATTATCTTTTTCTTAATGACTTATAATAGCTTTATATATATTAAGAGTATTTTCCTTTTACTCTTTAATGTGTCACCAAGACTACATGTGAAATAATAGTGTATCATAGCCATGCGAATTTTGGTAGGCTCCAACAGATGTTAACCAAGGTCTGTTTTATGCTACACTTTGTTTTAGAAGTTTTTATATCTAATTTCAGCAACTATGTGATAGGCATTCTTTATTTCCTTTTTTCAGATGAAGAAACCGAAGTTTAGAAAGTTTAAGCACTTGACTCAGGTCAGATAGCAAATAAAAGGTGACATAAGAATCAATGTAAAGTTGGGACAAAATTTTTAATTCTTAAATGCAGGATGGAGGGAAGATGAAGACTTAGCAGCACATGCAAAAATTAAGTAGGGGTTTTGGTGATATATTAATATTTAAGGACACCAGTAATATAGTTACCATAAAAGCTACTTATTTTGGGCTTAATAGAAGTATAGTATCCAGATAAAAAGAGCTCCATTTTTTTCTTTGCTTGTCAGACTTTCACTGAAATTTCATGCTCTATTCTGAGCACTACACTTCAAGAGGCAGTGAGGAAAACTGGAACATATTTAGCAGGAGCTTCTTGTTGGATGAATAATGATTGTAGGATAGTGCCCTGGTGAAGTATTTAGGAGCTACGTAATGTCTTAAAAGAGCTGCCATGTGAAAGAAGGAAAAGATATTATCTGTGGGTCTTATGTGGAAGATCTGGGACAAATGAGGAAAAGTTATCAGGAGATAGGTTTTTAACTCAGTAAGTAAAAGGATGTTGTGATAGCTAGCATGGGAAATTTCAAGAGGTGATGAGTTATAGGTATTGGGAAAAAATATCCTGTGATAACTTGGTAGTGATAGCGTAGAGGGGATTTAAGTATAGGGTAGGTGCTTGGGACAGATAACAGTCAATTAAATAGAAAATTTCAATGTATCATCATAAGAGTTGATGTTAGGGGTCCTTAGTGTGTTATGAAAGGATGTAGGAAGGGCATTTAACTCACACATCCTTGACAATAAGAATTGTAGTCAAGGAAGCCTTCATAGAGTTCTGATATTGAATTAGTGAATTAATGAGTTAATGAATTGATTCTTTAAATAACTAAGAGTTAGCCAGGCAAAGAGGGGAGGAGTCCTTTCTTACTTATTTTGTATTACAGAATCTAATTTCTTCCTTACCACCTTACCATAACTCTGTAAGAAGACACAGTGGAGTTTTGGTATTGCTATATTATTTTCTGTGTGATAGCATTTATAAAATTATATCATATTTATAAACAACTTTATTGCTTAGATCCTTTTGAGCCCTCAGTAGTCAGTGAAGAAGGATTAGGTGTGGAGAAAAGGAGCATCAGCACCACCTGGTACCCTAGTAATTTGCATCTTGGCATCCACTTATCACATCTTTTCCCCTTCTCTGCAGTATTTAAAGAGGGCTGCTTTGACATCTGTTGCTTTCATACATTTTCTCTGTTGAGATTCCCTTCAGCTAAATAGCGGTAAACTCTTTCTATATACAACTGTATCATTTTTCTTTTGTATAAACAGTGGGTGCATTTTATGTTTGCATTATTTCTCTGTAGGAATGCTTTGTGTGGAAAGCTTCAGTGTGAGAATGTACAAGAGATGCCTGTGTTTGGAATTGTGCCTGCTATTATTCAAACACCTAGTCGAGGCACCAAATGTTGGGGTGTGGATTTCCAGCTGGGAACAGATGTTCCAGATCCTGGGATGGTGAATGAAGGCACAAAGTGTGATTCCGGAAAGGTAATCAAAATGTTTTCTATTTACAAAGTAAAATGAAAAAAATTTAAAAAATTATTCTACAAAGTAAATGGTTGCTTCTTTCTGATTATAAAAGAAATCCATATTTATTATAGAAATTAAAAAAAATACAAAGCCACCAAGAAGAAAATGAAGAACAATTATAATTTTATCAGATTTCTTCACTGGGGTCAGATAACTAATGTTTTCCACTTTGTAATATACTGTGCATATTTCCCTCCCCTGTTGTTGTGCTAAAACTTATTAGCCAGTTTTCTGTTACTGGGACACTTCGGTGATGTCCAGGATTTTGGGTGTTTGTGTGTGTCTGTGTGCGTGTGCATGCGCCTCTGTGCTAGAAATGTCACACTGCTTGTCTTGCCCATGCTCCTGGCCACCCTGGCCTCAGCTGTTTGGATCAGATATGAGCCAGAATTAGCCAACCAGTGACATATTACCAGTGATTCCATATGAGAAGATGCTCTGGGCCAAATTCCTTTTTGGGGAGAACATATTCGGAAGAAAGGTAATGAAGAGTAAGGGTAGAAACTAAGAATTTTTTGAGAGATGCCATGAAGTAGGAGCTCGGCTAAAAGGGCTGTGGCAAGCTTAAGCCATATACAAGAGATGAGAGGGAGCAGAATTGTTGGGTAAATTGAAGAAACGAACTCAGGGGAGCATAGAAGAGGAGAGAGGAGAGAGAGAGAGAGAGAGAGAGAGAGAGAGAGAGAGACAGAGAGAGAGAGAGAGAGAGACAGAGACACATAGCGCTAACGAGAGAACATGATTGACTGATTATGTAGCCCATGAAAAAGACAAATGGGTGGGCCCTCAGGTTACCTCCATTTCTACCAAGTTTTCAGCTCCAATTCTGTTCCTTGCTTCTTTTTACAAAAAGACCCACATACTTCTATGCCTGTCCTTGCAACTAAATAAACCTGACCATTGTAGCTATTATAAACAATGCTGAGACAAATGGCTTTATAAATAGAAATTTCAGAACATCTCTTGATTGTTTTCTGAGGTTAAACTATAATGCACTACAATGGTGTGCTTACTTTTAAGGTTTTAGATATAGTTTTGCCAAATTTCTTCTTGGAAAAGTTTTATTAGTTTATTTTCCAACCAGTTGTATGCGTTTTAAGTACTCCATACCATAGTTAGAATTAGCTGTTATTATTTTAAAGCTTTTGGTGATTTCCTCTTTATTTTACACTGTCTTACTGGTGAAATTGAATTTTTTTGTTTATATAAATTCATTCCTTCTTTTGTGATTTCCCTGTTGTTCTTTGTTCATTTAAAAATTAGATTGCGCCTGTAATCCTAGCTCTCTGGGAGGCCGAGGCGGGCGGATTGTTTGAGCTCAGGAGTTCGAAACCAGCCTGAGCAAGAGCGAGACCCCGTCTCTACTAAAAATAGAAAGAAATTAATTGGACAGCTAAAAATATATAGAAAAAACTAGCCGGGCATGGTGGCGCATGCCTGTAGTCCCAGCTACTCGGGAGGCTGAGGCAGGAGGATCGCTTGAGCCCAGAAGTTTGAGGTTGCTGTGAGCTAAGACGACGCCGCGGCACTCTAGCCCAGGCAACACAGTGAGACTCTGTCTCAAAAAAAAAAAAAAAAAAAATTAGATTGCCTTTCTTATTCATTTTAAAGAACTTTAATTAACTTATGTCATATATAATATATATAGAGATAATATTTTGCCCAATTTATTGCTTGCCTCTTTTCTTTTTCTGGTTTTAGTATTTTTGTCAGGTCTACATTTTTATTTACTCAAATCTGTTATTTCTTTCCTTTATGATTTCCGACTACACTTACATACTTTGAAAGAACTTTTTCAGTATAGTATCAGCTCATTATTCTCTTATATTTTCTAGTAGATTTTTTTTTTTTTTTTTTTTTTTTTTATTTCAGAATATTATGGGGGTACAAATATTTTGGTTACATATAATGCCTTTGCCTCGCCCAAGCCAGGGCTACAAGCTTGCCCTTCCCCCATACAGTGTACACCGCATCCACCACCTGTATCCACCCCCCACCCCTACTGCCCCCCTCCCACCTGACTGGCACCCAGTGAATATTACTTCCATGTGAGCACATTAGTGTTGATCAGTTAGTGCCAATTTGATGGTGAATACATGTAGCGCTTGTTTTTCCATTCTTGGGATACTTCACTTCGAAGGATGGGCTCAAGCTCTATCCAGGATAATATAAGAGGTGCTACTTCACCATTGGTTTTTGTAGTGAGTAGTATTCCATGGTACACATATGCCACATTTTATTAATCCACTCATGTATTGATGGGCACTTGGGTTGTTTTCACATCTTTGCAATTGTGAATTGTGTTGCCATAAACATTTGCGAGCTGATGTCTTTTTTATAGAATGTCTCTTTTTCCTTTGGGTAGATGCCTAATAGCTGAATCAAACGGTATTTCTATTTTTGGCTCTTTGAGATATCTCCAAAGTACTTTCCACAGGGGTTGTACTAATTTGTGATCCCACCAGCAGTGTAAGAGTGTTCCTATCTCTCTGTATCCACGCCAGCATTTGTTGTTTTGGAACTTTTTGATAAAGGCATTTTTATTGGAGTTAGGTGATATCTTATTGTGGTTTTGATTTGCATTTCCCTAATGATTAGAGATGTTGAGCACTTTTTATATGTTTGCTGGCCATTATTCTGTCTTCTTTTGAAAAGTTTCTGTTCATGTCCTTTGCCCATTTATTGATGGGGTTGTTTGATTTTTTCTTGTTGATCTTTTTGAGTTCTGGATACATTCTTGTTATCAGCCCTTTATCGGATGTGTAAAGAGCAAATATTTTCTCCCATTCTGTAGGCTGTCTATTCGCTTTAATGATAGTTTCCTTGGCTGTGCAGAAGCTTTTTAATTTGATCATGTTGCATTTATTTATTTTTGTTGTGCTGTGATTGCTTTGGGGGCCTTCTTTACAAATTCTTTGCTTAGGCTGATGTCTGAAAGAGTCTTCCCTACATTTTCTTCTAGGATTCTTAAAGTTTCATGCCTTAGGTTTAAGGGTGTTATCCATTGTGAGTTGATTTCTGTGAGAGGTGGGGATCCAGTTTCAATTTTCTGCATGTGGTTATCCAGTTTTCCCAGCACCATTTATTGAATAAGGATTCTTTTACCCAAGGTATATGTTTGTCTCCTTTGTCAAAGATTAGATGACAATATGAAGATGGTTTTATATCTGGGTTCTCAGTCCTGCTCCAAAGGTCTATATCTCTGCTCTTGTGCCAGTTCTATGCTGTTTTGGTTACTATAGCCTTTTAGTAAAGCTTAAAGTCTGGTAGACTGATGCCTCCCAATTTGTTGCTTATTTTAATACTTATCTCTTTAATCCAGTAGAATGTTTTGGTGTTTGTAAATAAAATATGGGTTGGCATACATTCTTTTTTCTTTTATTATTTGTTAATTCAGAAATTATAACTTACATGCAGAGTTCTAATGATTTTTGAAATAGTTTATCATTTGT